TCTCACTGAATGATTTAAATGCTGCAAACTGTACCTTCTTTCTTTCCACCGGGACTGCTGGAACTGGGGCTGCTGCAGCACCTCTTTGGCGTAGCAGGTTGGCCTCCACAGCGTCCATGACCCAGCTGATGATCTCTGCAGATGGGTTGGGACCATAATGGGCCAGCCTGATTCTTACCGCCCGGTCAAAGCTTGCCTCCTCGGGGGTTCTGTCAGCTGCGCTGAGCCCATTGGTTCCTTCTGCCTCTGGTACTCCATCCATTTCAGTCAGTAGTGCAATAATCTCCCTCTTCCTGAGATTACTAGCTTGTCCGCCTCTCTGCTCCAATAAATCTTTCAGGGTAGCTCTTTTCAGCCTTTGGTATTGTATTTCCATTTAATCCTGGTTGTAGTGGTCTCTCTGGGCGATGAGGGTCATCCCACCAGTTGTTACGGTACCCTAAGCATGAAATGTACAAACCGCTGTGTAGTGGATGCTCCCCTTTCACAATAACATAGGCTGCATGCGTATCCAGTGTAATCATGCGAACCGCAAGCAAGGGAACGCTGCAGACTCACGAACGGGATCCGTACAGGCACTTCACTCCACGAGCTCCAAACCCACGAATCGCCAATATTAGCCGAACGCAGGTATCTCCCAAGCGGCTAATAATCCCATCCAGCAGTCTCTAGTCGTCAGTAATAAATCCCCCCAATAACGAGACCAAGCTCCGCATTGGGGGTAAAACAAGAACTGGCTTTACTGTGGGCTACCGGCCCATATTTATGCAAGTCTCCCACTTGGTGGACCAAATGGGAGATTGTGACAATAGACAGACATATGGCAGTTCAGGACCCACAGACACAAAATATTCCCAGCATGCATTAGTAATTCCTCCCCTCTGCCCTGGAAATAATTGAGAAGTAATTCAATTATCTCCAGGACAGAGGCAAATCGCCATTTTAAATTCAACACAGATAAAACACACAAATATATATCACTTTACATTTGTCGAATGTTACCCATTCGTATCACATATCCCCAGATAGCCTGGATCTGAGTGCATATTATTGGCGAATAGCGCTCAGATCCCATACGCATAGTTCAATCGCCATGGAGTCAAAGTCTGTTACAGCTCTTCGGTATGCGATTGACTCCATGGGAAGGCTATCTGGGTTAAGTCCATTTGTGTTGTTAAATCTCCCGAACGGCCGGTATTCATATGCTTTTGTCGATTGAGAAGGGGAGGTCGACGGCTTCAGTGGTGTTCGGTTGAAAAAGTGACCGTTTTGAGTTCCATGAAATAATCGTCGAACACCGCTGGGCTTTCGCATAGTTAAAATGGCCGCCGCCTCGTCGTCGACATACGAACGACGACCACCCTGTATTCGGTTTTAATTGAGAAGTGCCTGTGGTTAACCGCAACGTTCTAATTGGGATCAATAGGTTAACCAGCAGCACACTTCTCTTCTGGGTGGCCGTCCGTTCGGTAGTTCCGTTCGACAAAAAAATACATTCCCTTAATCAAGGCATACGAATGGGGGAAATTCATGCAAACGGCAAAACAGACGAACACAGTACTTTTAGTCCATACGGATGGGTCTGTCACACGGCTGCCCCCTTGTGGAACACTCCGGCAGGGTGTACTTTAGGCATCCTCAATCCTCCGTCAGTATGCTCGTGCCTGAGTGAGGAAATTAAGTTATGCCACCATAGTCTGAGACAAAGTTAGAAATAAGGGAGTAAAAAGTAGAAGATACCCTTGTAAGCCA